TATAACAGCAATGATTAAAGGGCCTTCATTTTCTGACTTGAAGTACCATAGTAAGTAGGTACCAAGTAGTGCTCCAGGAGAAGATATAAAGCTACAAGCAATAATGTCGGTTTTAAGTTCTGCTCTTTTGGTTAAAAAGTGTCCTAACAACCAACACAAAGAGTGGCTCATTTCTAAGCTAAAACCTAAAGCAGAACTCACACAATTCTTTTTTTAAATAGACTACCATGTGGTCACAGGACCCCATTTAAAGGATATAGGTTCACAATGTTGTGAGTTAAGTGTGTCTTAAAATTATAGTCAGATCCCAAAAATCTACATTGAAATGCCTTGCTTTCTGTTATAATTCCTTCAGTTCATACTGCATTCAGAGATCTCTTCCCAAAACATAAGTCTATTTGTTTATTCTGTTTGAAGGGGGCTCTCGAATGGGCAAGATTTGTTTTCCACCAAACAGATTAATTCAAATTGTGATGTGAATTTGTAATGCAGTTATACATGTAAATCAGTTTTGTATGAACATGAATTTTGAAAAATGAAACTTTTCTTTACTTGTTTGAAATTCATGGTTTCTGTTCCAGTTTAAATGAAATGTTCTCAGAATAACATGAAGTGCATAACCGCCAAAGTGCATAACCTCAACCCTTTCATGAAAAGTGTCAACATTTGTTAAGATTTATTTATTCAGAAATCCACAGGAGGCAAATCCCTTTTTAAAGCAAACCTATGCTGTGATCTGGTGCTTCAGTTACTAGTTTTAAATTTAACAGAGAACATGAAATATTATTGCAATTTGAATAGCAAAGCCTTGAAATGAAAACATTGGTGTGCTGGTACCATCCAGATCTTAGTGAAGATCATCTGACTGCAAAGCTTTCCTCTAAGCCAGAGCATGGAGAAAGTTAGGTTTTTGAATATTTTAGACTTATTGGACTAAAAAGGACAGAGGCTTTGAATGCTGTACAAATTGTAAAGCCATCTGAGGCAAATTGTGATTTGTAATTCTGAGCTATATAAATAAAATATGACTGTATTTGACTGACTAAAATGGCACATGAGATATAGTGGCAACAGCATCACTATGATTCTCCATAGTTAATATTTCAGTTTTATATTGATTTTTCTTTTTTTCTGTATAAGAGAGATAATCTGAATGACATTGCAAGTCATGGTAAGGTCAACTGTAACATGGAGAAGGCCTGGTTTGTGATGATTGCATACAAAATGGCACTGTATCTAATAAATAAAAGCATTGTGGTGCACTTCTATCAACATTTTAGGGGTTCTAAATGTACCATAAATAAGTTGGTTCAACCAGAATAATCAATACACATGGAAGTTATAAAACAAAATGTAAATAAGTGTGAGTATATAAATATCGAAAGCCTTTGACAGATTCACAAGAAGAGCAGTACAATATGCCATCAAGTGAACAATATAATCTACAACAGCAGTTTAAGCAGTTATGAAGAATAACTAGAATATTTTTGTCATTGTAAATAAAAGAAAAGTAATCCTTTGTCTTCTGTTTTATGATTCTGTCTGTTTTCTGCAGAGAAAGCCACAGTTTGTTTTCACTTATTGTTACAGGCAGAGAAAGAAGGTTCCCGGGTTCTTGCCCTAACCTTAATCACGTTAACCACAACCCTACCCCGACCGCCTCTAACCTTGACCATCATGATTTTAACTTGTAAATAAAAATAAACACTTGTAAATGTATGCCTAAAACCTGTGTTGTTGTTTTCTTCTATTTTTTATAGTGCTCTTGCCTAATCCTGAACAGATTTTTCGGCCCTTTGACAAAATCCATTTTCCAAAGAAAATCTGAAAACACACAGATGCATTTCCATTTGTTTTCTTCTAATTTTCTTTTTTATAAAGGAGAAAAGTGAAATAAAGGCCAAGAAGGAGATTGTTGCTGTAAAGGCTTTCAGCACACTGATGTAAATTGAATGCTTAAAAAGAGAGCTAATCGCCTCTACTGGGATTTGTTAAATTTGACTATAATGAAAATCTGAATCAGTTTGGGATTTGTGTTGTCTCAGTTAGATAATTAGATGATTCAATATTACACTGATCATTATTTACTGGTTATATAGGATTTTCTCCAATGTTAATGAATTATGTCTGACTGATGAAGTTGACAACTGAGTCTGTGGCAGTGTTGCATTACTCCTGGCGCCAGTTGAATACAGGCTTGATGGTGGTATTAAAATACTTTTGATTGGTAAAGCTCATTACAGCCTCTTTGGATTCACATAAAACAGAATACCACCGATGTGGATGGAACAAGCTTCAGCAGAAAGGCTGCAAGAAGACAGAAGTAGTAAACAGACAGAAAATTGGCCTCAAGCTGTGCCACAGGAATGAACATGAGGCAGTGATTAATCTGAGGGACTTTTATTTATAAATCTACAATAAAGTTGCATGAAAAGACTTGCAGTTGCAAAAGTTAGTTGTTTATTTATGAATTCACACAGCAGTTGAATAGGTGCTACACAAACTCTGAACCTGGAATATTAATTATTCTGTGATTGTCCTACTAATCTTGTGAATTGTCTTTTTGAATTGTTTAGCGCTATGAGATCATATGCTATTAGACCACACAGAGCTTCTGAAAAGCTTAAAGGTTTCCCTCCATCTCTGTCTTTTTTTCCTCCAGCAACTGCTGAAAGATCAAGTTCTTAAATCTTTAATCACCTGTGGTGCAGCAGGCAGAGAAATAATTGCTTATTTTGTAATAGCAGCAGCCACCATAATAAAACGGGTATGATACATCACTTACTGCACAGTTTTCATGTCAATGTTACATAATATTCAACTGACCGAAAAGAACTGCTAATGATCATCAGGTTTTTGTTCATTTATATATCAGCCATAATGACAACTTGAGGAGCCTTGACATTAGGTCAGTGAAGTGAAAGGTGAGCTCCATTAGGTTTAACACAGACATTTCCTGAAACTGTGGCACATCAACAACCTCTGAGGTCCAACTTCCAGGTTGGTGCTGGAGACACATGTTAATGGCACAGTTAATGACCTACAACCTTGACCACATGCTCTCACTGAAGAGTCTCATGCTGCTCAAACTCTGACTCTGTAATGATATGTGATGTTACCCTTTATAGAAGGTTACAGAAAATGTTTTAATTTTAATAGTGGGAAAAAAGCTTTTGACTAAAAGGAAAAGTGGCTTATTTCATCCCACTCTAAATGTTAAGGTTATATAGAGTGACATTCTAACCATATTAAAACATCATCACCATTAAACATCTTAATCCCATGTAAGAGCTGGAGAAAAGATACGGTAGGAGCGATGTTATCTTGTAAATGCTATCTTCTACACCTGTGGTACCTATATCTTCTTGCCAATGCATCTTCCCAAACCTTTCTGCAGCATGTATGTTCCAAACCACTAGAGCAGCTCCGGTCTAATCCGTGTCATTAGGTGAGAGATAACAGATGTTAACAAGTAAACTGTGACAGCTGACGTGAAATTACCCCATCTCTGTTGTCTGTTTTAAAAGGGTAAATCTTTAATGATTCTCAAACTGCTGTTGTATCTCTCCTTGGGCAGGTGTCCAAACTTCCAAGCATGCTCCTTTTCTGTCTACATCCCATTTATAATGTTACAAGAGGTGATTGGAGTGTGGCCAGGAGTGCAACATGCTTCATTTAGACTTTGAACCTGCTGTGTATTCTCTACTATGTGTTACTCAGTTTGGATTTCCCCTTTTAATGTTCCCACCAGGCTGAGCTACGAAGCCAGGATACAGTAATTTCTCCCAGCTGTAGGCAGGCGAAGGATGTTGGCTGGGTCCAGTAGTCTTATTGAAAAGCTGACCTTTAACGCGTCTTGAGACTTAAGGCTTTGCATACAAATGATGATCTGATTCCTCGGTCATCTGGCCAGTCAATCAATGCCACAGCACGCCACTTTTGCATACCCCCCTTAGCTGAGCATCATTCTCGACAGTGATTTTTAATTTCCATTAGAAATATGACAAACAACCTCAGTTTAGACCTTGCATTTGATTAAGTTCACTTTCACTGCCTTTCTCTTCACTTGTCTGCTGTTGTGAATAAGGTGAATATGAAAGTGGGGCGCATGCTAATTTGGGGGTATTTAATTAGTCATTATAAACAGTATGGGTTTGAAGCTAGTGCAATTTAATCAGGTATGCAAATACATGGCCTATATTGAAAACACGATTATGCAGAGAGAGTAGCGAGCAGATTTATGCCACTTCACTAAGAAATGATACAACAGTGCCACCTACTGAGAATGAACTGCATGTACTCTGATCAGTTGATGGTCACAGGCACCAAGGAATTATGTGACCCTGAAATAATTCTGTTCTTTTTTATTAAGTAAAGGTGGATTTATATTTTTATATATATAACGTTTGGGATATGGATTTGTGCTATACACCCTCAAAATCATATGAGGAAAGACAGCAGAATGGAAAATGTATAGCGCTAAAAGAATGGGTGGGTGTGGGGCCTTGTGATAAGAGATCAAATATTAAGGTTTCCTGTTGACAACTATATCCAAAACAGCTCAGTAAGCATTTACATGCTTGCATGACTGTGTAATGAAACTAGAGACAAAAAATATCTGATGTCACAGAGAGGATTTAAAAAAATAAAGATTTCAAATATGAAATTCACACTTAATTGGTTTGAATTTCAGGTCCTGAAAAACCTCCAACCTTCCATCCACCCACTGCCTCATTTTGTAGTAGATGGAGACACATTTTAATCCCAGTTTCTAGCTTCGGTTAAAAGTGATACATTGTTCACAAGTATTGATTAAACTGTCCTGGGAAGCAGAAGATGTATTAACTGAGTTGTTCTTGGGGACAAAACTCTAACATCAAATAACACAAAGTCTAACATCTAATGTTAAATTCACCAAGTTCACAAAGAAATTGCACAGGACCAACAGACACCATGTTCGTTTCAAACGTTTATTTGTCCAGAAATGACATAACCACTGCTAATTTTGAAATGTGTTTTATATTTATTAAGTCTTGAAAAAACACAAAATGTCTTACATGCAAAAACGGTATATACAGAATGCTTTTAACCAGAAAGGCACCAAAGACACATAAGCAGTAACTGCTTCTTGCTGGCTCCATAATAAAATAAAAACAGGACGTGGATCAACTTGAGAAGGTGTGAACTAAATCCAAACATTATTAGCAACATAAGTAGAGATTTTTAGTTCTCTCACACAATGTAACAATCTTTATTTGAATGGTTAAAAAGCCAATAAGACAATAGTGGTGTTGTGATAGCTAAAATATATATTATTTATTACATAAATACAATAGTCTTAATGTAGCACATTTTATGTGTGCATTATTTACTCCCTTTTGTGGCTACAGACTGTCCTCTATGTGTGCAAGGGAAAAAGACAACGTGAGAACATCCTTAATACAAAGTACAACTTCTGTCAAGCTTGAAAATGTATTTATAGAACATACACATTTGTAATAAATTATTCTTAGTACAATTTTCAGGTTGTAACTATTAAAAAAACAACAGCTATCCTTGTTATTGCTAAAGTTTATATGATGATATGGCTGTGATTGTCTGAACACTAGTGTTTGTACTGTTGTGTGCATGTGATTTTTCATGATGAGAGAGCTGTCCACACCTTTGGTCTCACAAATTGCTGAAAACCAAAAGTGAAGCATTCTCCCTCAAACCTCACTCATCCCCTGAGGACACTCAAGATCTGAAGTCCAAGCAAAGTGACGGTGCTATATATCATTGCAAGTGCTAGTAAATGAGAACTGCAACAGGCCATATATTTTAGGTTCAGTGGTGGAGTGGACTGCCGTGGGTCAGAGCAGGTCAGTTTTTAACTGAAAAAGGTAAACAGGTGAGGTAACTTCCTCGTACGTATTACTGATATTAACACTCAGTGTAAAAGGTGGCAGCAGCACTCTTCTTCCTCCTCTACTTCTTCCTCTCACATTCAGAAGGTAATGCCTTATTAGGCTGCGGGACGAGGCAAGCACTCGTACCATGATGGTGCCTTAAATCCATGCAACACTTTTTAACCAAAACCAAAAGATTATTGTGACATTTCAAAAAGTAAAATAACCTTGTGGTTAGGTGGCTTAGATAACTTGAATTACAATAATGTAATGGAAGCCATAAGGAACATACTGTTAGCACCATTCCTCTGCCCATTTGGGGCACCTCTCTGAAGAAATCAAAGCACCTTCTTTGGATCCCCTTCTAGATACACCAGTGGTCCCGCCCATAGTGTTGTGGCTTCTTTTTGATTGGTCCCGTTGGAAGAACTGCATACAGTTTGGTGAAGTGATAATTTATTGTTCTCTGGTTCCTCACGTGTTAGTCATTTGTTTAGGGAGATGGTGACATAAGATGTAGGTATGTAGCCTTCATCCCCATTGTTGCGACGGACACGGGTCCAGCCATCCCCTTTGTCCTCCTCTACCACTGCCAGCACCTCCCCCTCCTGCATAGAGATGGTGCCTTCACTGGCACCTGAAAGAGAGACAAACTAGATGGTAGAAAATATCCCTTTGCTAATTTACAAGACTACACAAGCATCATTGAGTCAGACCACCAAAAAAAAGAATTTGACTCATGATTTTCTGGGTGTGAACTGGCTCCTCATGCAGGTTTGGGAAATGTTTCCCTCCCTACACAGTTATGATATTGCCAAAAACTACATGTATGATTAGAAGGCAAGCTATAATTTTGAAAAATATGTGCATCCACAGTTGACAAAAACTTAAGAATACATTCAATGCTTCACAATTCGTATGAAGGCCATGGATAGCTGAAGTTTAGAAAAAACTGATGTCCTTTCACTGAGACATCTGATCAAGGACAATTCTTCACATGACCTAGCCTACAGAGTTTAGTTGCTACACGCCACATCATACACATGTGCTCCTCAAGAATGCGGAGTAAGGCTAAAACAGCCTGTGACATACCAGGGAAGTTGTACATGGCTGTGCATTTTCCAATAGGAGCAGTTAGTTCCTCATCCTCAAAGTCATCATCAAACTCAGCATAGATGGCCTGGGAGGGATCAGGAGTACTTTCATCAGAGTGAGCTCCATCAGGGCTGGAGAGAGAAACACAGGTTTCTCAGACAACGCATCATTGTGCCAAAAACACACCGTCTATTAATAGAATTTAGTGTTACCTGTGTACATCATGAGCTCCGTTGTTGTTAAATGTGTGAGATTTATAGCGTAATGTGTCCCCTCGACCTCCTGCCTCAGCTAGCCAAGTCTATACAAAACAGCCAAAGAGAGGGGGAGAGAAATAGAAGAAATAGATATATCATGTCATGTTCATTTGTATAGTCAAATGTCACACACAATGCCTCAATGGGCTTTGCAAGCCCACATCAACAATGGTTCCCAACCAGCCAACACATGTTAAGAGGAATAAAAAACACTTGAGCACAGGAAAGATAAATGTGATTATAAAATTATATTTTGCATGTAATATGTTGGGTCAGTAGTCCTAAATTACCTAACCATTAGTTCAAAATAACTGAGCTGAGGATCTGATTACCTCATACTATTGAATTAAAGAGGCTATATATTCTATGCTGAACAACAAGGAATCAGTTTACCACAAAATATATTAAATTAACAATAATATCCTAGTTACTATATAATATTTTAGAATTAACAACTAAGGACCTGGATCACCTCATAATGTTAAATTATGACCTCACAATATGCATAATCAACAGAGGTCGGGATTACCTCATACTTGTTGAGCTCCCCTCTGAGCCGTTCTATATTTTGGGATGTCTGGCTTATTTGGGATGCCAGACTTGCAGGGTCTCCCATTTGAGGATTTTTCTCATAAACATCTTTCATCTTCCCCAGGGCCTCACTGAAGAGAGGAGAGAGAGAGAGAGAGAGAGGAACAAGGGAGGAAGGAAGAAAGTGACTTTCAGTAGAAATTGGTTCCCTGCAGAGCTCAGGGCTGAGTAAACAATTCCAACACTCACAGACACCACAGAGTTATACACACTCATGTGCACTGCAAGGATATTATATCCACACTCCCACTTCTAACATTGATGTTATTAATACGTAGAAAGGTACTCGCATATACACACACACACACACACCTCTGATCTACTTCCTTTTGCAGCTCTTTGCAGATTTCCTCTAGTTTCTGTTGTAACCTCTTCCTGCGCTGCTCTGGTGGAAGATGGGCGAAGTCCTCTGTCACTGTGGGCTACAAGAGTTCACAGGAAGGGCGGGTTAACACTAAACTCAGTCTCACACTGAACCGTTTCAAACATTTCTAACCATTGGTAAACGAAACACCACAGGAGGAAAACCAAACCTGTGGTTGAGTTCAGCTCAAGATACATTGTTGGACTGAAAAAACTCTTTAGGCTTGAAATAATGTTCATGTACAACAGTGAGCTGAACCCAAAACCACCACCCATGGAGCAACAAATGCAATGCAGCAATTACTTTATCTACTACAAGTTCAACAAATAATATCTTATATGGAAAAGGTGGCTGAGAATGTGCAGAAACAATTTAGGTTATTTTGAAATTGGGTTATGCATTGCTCTGTTTCCTGTCGCGCTAACAAGCGTCCCTCCCTTACTCCACCACCAGGTGGCCACCTCTTCAATACATACAGACTCAAGAGGAAAAGCCTTTTGCCACATTTCATGATTCCTGGATGCTGCATGTTCATTTGTTTAAACACAGAAACTCCAGTATTAGAGTTATGTTAAGGTAAAATTATTTTAATGGAGATGAGCTGCTGTAATGGAAAGGTGGCCAATTTTGTGTCACACAACTGAAACCCCCACACCAGCTTTGTTGTCCATATTACCATGATCCTCTCTGGGGTAAACTTCTGAGGGAAAAAGAAATAATAACCTTAAAAGTGGTTCTTGCTTTCAACCCTAAAAACATGTTCTTGTATACACATTAAGAATAGCAAAAGAGCCAGTGTAAGCGAGTAGGAGCTATGCTGCATGTTTAAGTACTGAAAACATTAATAGTCTTATTCAGGACCACAGGATGATGTGTAAGCCCTGATGAGTGAAGGTCTCCTGGCACCCAAACCTTTTCCTCTGGTGACTCACCGATCTCCTGAGTGTCCGGAAGGAAGAGATTCTGGGTTTGACTGTCTTATTGATCTCCTTCAAACAGTACGACAGGGGGTCCCGGCCAAACTTGGGGGAAGGGGGTCCGTTAGCGGGCGAGGGGGCGGGGGGGTGTGGAAAAAGGTGGGAGCGTGGAGGGAGAGAGCTGGGATGGGAGGGGGGGACCAAAGTACCAGCACCCAAGCATGAGGTATGCAGGCAGAGGGTGGTGTACAGAATGGGGGGAGAGGGGGAAGGCAAAAAACAACAAGGTGAAAAGGGAAAGAAAAAGACACCATCAACACCTTAAAGCACACCACAAAGCCAGGAGGACAACACTTGAGCAAACCCAGCACACGAGCCCAGAGAGCATCAAAGCACAAACACACATCTGACTCTTTGGCTCACATCAACACACGCATAAAAAAAACCCAAATACAAAAATAAGACAGCGAGAGACCCTCCACAGCTCCCACACCTGAGCCTCAGCAATCAAACACCTGCTGTCGAACTCAAGTCAGGTTGAAGGGTGAACCACAGTGAGCAACCGGAGCAGGCCACCTAGACTAAATTTTAACTGCTTAAATGAGTAAAAGAACATTTTTATATTCATAGATTTACTCTATCTCTAATCTAGAAATATGGCACAGCATTACATCTAAGCCCAATCATCAAAATTACATACTTGGAAGTGAAAATGAAGGTGAAAGTTAGAAGTATTACTCAAACTGTTTACTGTGCACATTAACAGTATTAAAGAGCTACTCACAGTTCAATATAATGCAATATAATACATAGTTGAGTAATATAACAAAAAAAGGTAGAACTGGGTTTATTTAAATACTGATTGCTTGTGTTTGCTATGCTCCAATAGGCTAGTTTATGCAAAAGAAATATTCATCCTTTCTTCTCTAGCACAGTTCTCAGAGTTTACAAAGCTATGCGAAGCGGTCTAGTTTGGTCGCAGCATTCCTGTGTGTCTACAGTGAATACAGTCACATATTTCTCAAAAATTACAGTTATAATGGCCCAAACTATGAAAATAAGACCCATGTTATAAAGAAAACACTTTCCTTAAGCCGAATGAGCCAACTAAACCATTAGTATTCTGTGTGAAAAATCATGTTCACAGTTGTGAAACCTGTGCTATTCTTTGAGTCTGACCTACATAGATAAAAAATCAATTCATACATCAGTGCAGTTGTTATAAATATCCTGCTTAATTTCCACAATGTCAGTTGTGCATATGGATGTCTGGGGGCTTGATGAATTCCCTGTATGACCTCTTACAAAGAGGTTAACTTTAACTCTGTGTCTATGTGGAAAGGTTGCGGGTGGGATCTATTAGCTAAATTACACAGGAGGCTGATGTCTTCTAGTCTTCAATAGTGAATGTCTAACACAGTCCTACAACAAGGTCCCTTGTGTAAATACTGAGAGCTGGAAGTACAGTACTGTTATTATGTGACCATCTACTGGGTAGGTGCTACTTTTCTTGAGAGTTATGGGAATCTAAGTACAGGAGAGGAGTTAAGAATGGGAATGTTCGGGGGCCAGACATAAACCAAAAGCTCAGTCAAGCCAGTACATTCAGCCTCCTATTCATACTGCTACAGTCCTAATTGGGAGAGCATGACTGATGACACAGAGCAGTGTGCCACACACATACACAGAACAGAAAGAGTGCACAACAGAGCACAGCCAGTAAGACATGCAGAGAGAAGAGAGGCGCTGAACAAGCAAACACTGCAGGGAAGAGAGAGGTGGTCACTTAATGCTGGGGCAGAAGGAGTGGGACTGTTAGCTGGTTAGTGGTCAGCTATCAATATCACCAGTTCAATTTGGGACCCCATCAAGAGCCTGTGAGATAGATTCTTAAGACCAAATACAAAAATGTCAATGTTAACATCCACTGCATTAATGTTTGGTTGGATGTGAGCCAGTTTCTCTGACCTGGCAAACCTGGTGTCATCCTAATTGTTGGCACAAACATTTTATTGTGATGAGAGACATAATGCTAGGTTCTGGGCAGTATAATGGAAGCAGTGTGTTTGTGGATGCCTGTAGAGGAAAATTCAATGATGTTTGGGCCCCGTGCTGATGAAAGCACAAGCACAGCAGAATGCTGACTGCCAGTTGACCTATCGGAAACCACGCTGCAGAGAGAGGGAGGGTGTGTGGGTGGGGGGCAGCAAGGTTTATTCACTCACAGCCAGGGACAGAGTCATGCAAAGGACCTGTTCTAGAAGTGTTGGGGTGTGTGAGTTCATGTATAATATGATGAAAGAGGTTCATGCGTTCATTATACTGAGCTTTCAAGAAGACGTGTGTGTGCGTGTGTGAGCGTGTGTGTGTGTGTGTGTGTGTGTATAGCCACAACCACAGGTCCATCATGAGTGCTCTCTGTAGAGGGGATTTCCTGGCTCTGCCTGCTGGCTCTGTAGCTCAGACACTAACATTTCCGTGCAAGGAGTTAGCCACTGCGCACCTGCAGATTTTCAAGTCTGCTGCCATTGATCATTGATGGAGGGGGTTGCTAGTGTATTCATTGCTCAATTTTCACAATGCAAAAAACTTCTCTTTCAGTGTAAGGTCATGTAATTTGGCTAAATTAGCCTAATGTGCTCTGATTGAGTGGAATGTCCTACCTTACTTCTTTTGCTGAAAAGCCAAAAGTTTTTGCTCCTGTTCTTTCCCAGAAGGTCCATGGGGCCTTTAGGCGTGCCCAGGCTACTGTCAGATGAGGCTCGGTTGATTCCTTGACTGTAGTCCTCAAACTCCACATCTCCAGGACGTTCAAAGCCTGACTTGTTCTGCTCTATCACAATCACGGAGTCCTATATTAGATGCAATCATGGATAAGGGTAATCAAGATTTGTTTTCAAACAGTTGAAACAAGTGGACAGCATAAAGCCACGCTGCACATCAAAATCCATTTTGAATTTTTGAGACCAACTCACATTCCTCTCATTAACATTAGTGCCGGCTTTAGTAATGCCTTCCAGGCACTTGCCAATGATAGGCATCACATGCTTCTCTGTGTCTGAGAACAAGATGTAGCCTTGCGCCAACTTCCGCACTCGCCTCTCATCCAGATCCTGCAATTTCTAGTGAAGACATAGCAACAGACACTGCCATTATTAGGCGTGAGACAATAAATATTACATAGCCCATAATACGTATAATGTGTATCTCAACATCAAGCAACAAGTTTAGTTATTTCTGATTATTAAATATATTTGTTCTGATGAAAGCTTCAAAGTCAAAACTTTAGCACGTGAATAGATGAAACTAAATGAACTGATTTAACTAAACAGTTCATCCCTGGCTTTGTTTAATTTTATAAAACTCAAAATGACAGCAGGATTTGGCAACATGCACACTCCATGGTGCATGTAAGAGGAAAAACTGAACTTAAATAATAATAATAATAATAATGTAATAATAAATAATAAATATACAATAACCACATGTTAACAACTCAAATAAACATTAAGGACAGGAATATTGAGCCATACGCATTCACTTACATTGAAAATGAGTGGCATATCATTAAAATAGAACTGGTTCTGCTCTTTGTTGTACTTCTGAAGCTGAGCAGCATAGTCGTTCTTACACTCCTCCGCTACATGTGCTCTCATATGAGCCTGCTGTTTGGCCTAGAACCACACATAAAGCAAACAGGTTAACAAAGTGCATCTGATTCTACTTTTGATCATGATAAATAGTCCTAAAAATAGTCCTTTGTTACTTTTTCAACATCTGCCTTCGTGGCATTGATGTCTTGATCAGTCTTTTCTGCGTACTGTGCTGCACGCTCTGCTTCCCTCCATTCCCTCTCAAAGCGCTTTTTACTCTGGTGTGCAGAAAGAAAAAGAAAGATGGAGAGAAAAAGAACATGTTCAGCTCATTCAACTAAGTGAGGCCATGGCCTGAATGAAATATGAGGAGGTTCTACTATTTTGAGCAGAACATTTTTCACTGTCTTTCTAAAAAGACAGATAAGGGAGGTTGGGGGCGTTGGGACTCTATCATCTCTAATCATAAGTGAATAGGTCTTGGATTGATGATAGGAGTCTAAAATTGGAACTGCTTTCCACTCAGTCTATCTGTTTTTACTATAGACAAATATAGCCACCTGACCAACCACACTGAATGTGCAGTCATTTGCTTACAGAGAATTTTCCCCCTTCTTTCATAATGAACCCAACACAAAGTAAAAAAGGGACTATATATAGTATATAATATATCCAACAGCAAAGCTGCGTAGTATTATATACTATTGTTATAATAGAAAATGCAAAAATGAATCATCAAATATGATTGACGCCTCCTTTAGACTTACACCGTCAAGCTGCTTGTAGGTGCTCTCCAAACTCTGCTGGGCCTTCTTGGCCTCCATCAGATACTGCAAACATTCATAAAAATAGACCCAAGTGAGAGGAGGGGAGGCGGGTCAGATGACACAGAGAGAGACAGCCATGTGTAGGGGCAGACATAGAATAAACAATGACCTCCAAAAGCCACACAACATAACAGACAAGAAAACAAATACCAGTGTGTCTGTTTGAGACATCACGTCTGCAGTGAGAGCCTGTACACGGCTGCAGTGTTCTGCAATCCAGTGGGACAGAGCCAATGCATTCCTCATAGAGAAATGGCACACCACCACGCAGACCATGCCTCCCCCTGGAGACACTAAGTAAGGCTTCCTTCCTGCCACAACCGTGAGATCTCCGAATCTCAACTCCTCCTTTAAATCTCCCCCTCTTATCACTTACACTACCCTTTACACTCCTTCTGAGCAGTGTGTGCTGTATACTCCAAGGCTGCTGGTGAACATGGTAGTGCAGGCACATAATAGTATACAACATACATTATGGACATGCAACCACTAGTCAAAAACAGAAAATGTATTACTATTGATTATTGTAATTCACACTTACTTTGATAGGCAAAAATGCAAAAAATTATATCATTCAAGGGTAAAAATTTTGAAAATATGCAGCTTTTCTTGGTCTTACCTAATAGTCAATTCAAATATATTGGTTTTTGAACCGTTGGTCAGACAAAAAAAACAATAACTACATTTGATGAAGTCAACTTGAGCTCTAGGATATTGTGGTGGCCATTCTTAATTGTTTTTCAATGTTTTATGTCACCCATACTAAATAAAGGAGCTTGCAGTGCTATCAAGTAAAGATTTAAACTATTTATGCTGTATCAAAGTAAAGCAAAATGGACCAAAACCAGTTATAACATAGTTGACAAGCTACAGATGAAGGTGTTTCACAGGGCGGACAACAAGGCTGTGGGAAAATGTCAACAAGTTGCCTTTTAAGGAGCCTGAACACAGTGTGTCTAGTACCAAACACCCACTTTTGCCTGCAAATTCAACTTATTTGGTATACTCATGGCTACAAAGATGGACTTCAACCAGAGTGACACAATACACCACTGGTCCTTTCCATATGAAGCTCACCGTCTTTCGTTCCTGCTTTAGCTCTTGCAGGTACTTGGTGAGATCGATGCAAATGCTCATCATCATGTTCTCAGCAATTAGCTCTCTCTGCCCCGCGTAGTCGTTCATCTCATTGAGGATTTCCAAAAAAGACTGGTAGCTGGAAAACCTACCATTTAAGAGGAGGAGAGAGGAAAGGGTAGAGAGATGAGAACACAGTGATGGGACCACCGATAAGATGATACATACACAGGCTCAAAGAGAAAGCAGCAGCGGACCAAGTCATAATAAGAAGCTCATGACTTCCTTATTTTTGCTTCCTCCTAGGGTCATTTAAATGGCCAGCAGCTGCTCACTATAGCATGAATGACACTAATGACAAAAAAAAAAAAAAACAGTGTGAAACATGGTTCTGTTGAGTTGCTGAGTGTGGCATTACAGCCAGGGTGTTAATCCAAATTGACCCAGTAAGCACAATTTTAGCTGACATTTTGCAGCAAAATGTAATTCCTTAAATCAAAAGTAAATATATCTATAAATATATATAACACTGAACCTAAAAAAAAATAATTATCTATAAGCTGTCATTAAAGAAATGCTTTGCAACAAAACCCACAATGCCTCACCTGCACTCTGGTTCATCTTTGCTGCTTCGTTTTAGGTTATATTTCTTGGAAAGATTTCTGTGGAAAATGAAAACGCATCAAACAAATGGGTAGACAGATACTTAACATATTCTCAAAGGGAAAAGATGGAAAACAGTTAAAGAAAGCTTGCTATAATTCAGCTATTCTTATGCAACCACTGGCTGTTTTATACAATAGGATTAAAAACATCAGTAAACTATGCAAAAACTGTTCTTCCTCCTTTCACTCTCCCTCTGACCACATACTGTCTATCATGTGCCAGTCTGCTCCCACTTCCTCTCCTCTCCAGCAAAGCTCAGCACTACACCAGATGTGGGCCTGCAGCCTGTGAGACAGCTAGGAGAGGGAGCACCATGGATGAAGAGAGAAAGAGGGAGAGAGCGAGCACACAGCAGCTGGAGAATGAGGCCAGTGTTTCAGAGACAAGTTAGATTCTGTCCCAAAGTGGTCATAAGACCCCACAAACATTTCATAAACAGCCATTTAACATGTACCCAAGCAAACACACACACTAACACAAGCTGCTTTGAGCATTTTAGGCAGACAGCGGAGGAGAACAATGACAAAAAGCGAGGCCTACCTCAGTTGTTTGGCATAGTTTTGCTCAATCTCCGTCCTCTCCTTCACAAATTTCACATACTTCTCCACCAGCTCCAGGCCAGACTGTGTATGCTTCTCAATGATGTCATATTGGTCCTGGGGAAAAGAGAATGAGAGACAAATAAGGAAAAGATATTAAGTCAACACTCTGCAGGATATGGAACATGTGTTAACTTCTGGGTAATAACTGGGATGTTCCTCAAGTTGAGTTTAAGGTCATCTAAATTCATCTTAAATGGAGGGTAATAAACGAAGCACATCAACAATTGTTCCTGCATGTTGGATTCCGCGAATGCTCTCCACATGTGCACACAATGTCAGCAATGGTCTCTAAACTTCCGGCTAGCTTTAAATCACAGGGCAACAATGTTGTTCAAAGGACACAGGGTTATAAAAGGGGTCACAGGCAGGAAAAGGAGGATACATATCCTGCTGTACTGTGTGCAGTGAAATGTTTCTGAATAGTAATCCTGAGAGCAATGTATGACATACTATACATTACATTATATTAGCTCCACAAGGTCCTTATTAATGTAGCTCTTTGGCATATACCATGTCTAGATTCTAATTCATAGGGCTCCGCCACAGCAGAACTGAATTTGCTGACTTTTGATTTTGATATTGTGCAGTATGAAGGAGGTGTTGTGTTTCTAATCCTCTTTTGTTCCTTATTTGGTAGAGCACTTTATGACACCTTCAAGCTCAGACAAGTCTTGATTGAGAGTGAGAGATGATATCTGAGCCAGTCCTCTCCCACTCTACACTCAAAACAATTCCCCCAAGCTTTCTTTGCTGCCGACTTAAATATTGAGGAGGGGGCACGTTGAAAAGGGATTCCTGACGAGTTGGGCCGTGTTCTCCTGTACCCTTCCTGGCCTTCGGGGAAAAACAAAAGAGACAAGACCCAAATGAATGAGGCAACGTTTAGCCTAATTACAGAACACAGTTAAAGGCTAAGACAGGGGCCTGCAATCCATCACCACAATAACATCTAACCAATAGGCAATGTTAGGGGTTTAATTTAGCATCATTAATTACGGAACAGAAGTAATGATAGTCAATACAGCCAACTTACAACTACAGATTTTCCAATTTCCTAAAGTGCCTGTGTTAACAACAGATTTTCTTCTTAGATGTGGAAAATAATTGCCCTGTATTTGACTTGGAAATTATAGTGAAGAATGGAAGTAAAACACCCAAATGGCAGGATTTTAATGTACTACTACGAATGTAGCCCTCTAAAATTGTAAATGGTGACAATTTCTTTATGAATCATTTAAACTTGAGCAGTTGTCAGTACGGTAGTAGCTGCATCCAGTACAATCTCACCACATAAACAGAATAGAAAGCCAACACTGCAATTAGCTATACTGGCCAAGGCTGAACAGAGGCAAGGTATGCCATGTGGAAGTGCAGTGCCATCAACTTGTAGCCACATTCACTCCAGGGTTACTCCCTGAGGTATAGATTGAAGGTCAAACCTTGCATCAAGGTAACTGGGATGGTTGAAACATCTGAATTTTTTAGGTCTTAATTATAGATGACTCAAAGGAGTGTACTCACCATATTATGGAAACTATTATAGTAGAAATGAAAAGTTATATACCACATAACTTTGATGCAGGTATTTTGCATAGATAAGTCTATTATTTGCACATTCAGTTTCAGGTCTGCTGATCAGTCTGTGGCAGTGTGTGGGAAAAGGTCAAGTACTGGAGATTGACTGCGAAATCAGAAATTGTCAGGCAAACTGTTGTAGGTGTAGCGTCTGTGTACATTGGACAGCAGGGAGGTCCCCAAACTAGTATTTAGTCTGCCACTCCAAGTGATCCCACTCCAATTCAACCTGCCAATACTCAGTCCTAATCCTATATTTACACCTCCATACACAACACAGCTGCACAATGCATAGCTAATGATGTTAACTAAACTCATAATGTAACGCTAGACAATTAACCGTTTCTGCATTCATATAAAATGCCCTGCATCACTTAAACCAATTATGAATAGGTTCAAGTGAAAATATGGTTGATAATTATGATGTGAATAGCTATTGTATTCGATGTATTCATTTGTGTATTTGTATAATTATGTGTCTGTCATTAAATGTAAACTTGGAAGCTTAAGATACTAAATACCATGCCAATAGAATGCAATACTCTTAAATTATAATACATTCAGAACATGACAAAATAATAATGTTTTAGTCACAGTAGACACTCTTAAGGATACTTAGCAAATATTTTGCCTAAAATCAATAGTAGGAAAAATATATATTATATATATGCACGTGCGTGCGTGCGTGCGTGCGTGCGTGCGTGCCATTTTGACATTTGACATTTTGGGTTTTTTTTAGAAGCCTTTCTTTTTATCATTGACCCATAAATACATAGTTGTACGTTGACTGTTCCCTCTACATACATACATACATCAGGTTCTGTGCGGCATTGCTGGAAAAGAAAGAGCCTTGGATGAACTCTTAAATAGGTGCTCTTTTATAAATGGCAAAATAAAAAATAAAAAATCAGCATCTGATAATCTGTTGATTAACTGTCGCTGCTTGATTCAAGATTTCCAATTAGAAAAAAATCAAAACTCATTAAATTCCATCAAAATAGCTCACAACGGCATAATCATTGTCTCAAACACCAGTGACTGTCAGATTACTCCAATTTATAACCATCCAAAGCCACAGTCAAAATTATCTTTACAGGTCCCCATAGAATGGGTACTGAACTGATTTTCATAAATCCTAAAGGGTACATGAAACAGCTCCTGAACAGAAAATCTTGTGTTTCTTGCTTGTATCTGGCAATTTCAATATCAGCCCTCCTTCCACACCTTTATATATAGTTTACACATTTTGAGTCACTTGTAACACATTCCCTTGGAACATTTAGTAGCATCTTTCTTGGCTACACTCGTTTCACCATTTTTGATGGGTAAGCTAAATATTCTGCCCTGGTAATATTTTTATGGCACAGATTTAGGCCGGGAGCTGTGATTAAAAGACTGATAGGCCATATCGTGCTTCAAAATGTATGTTTTAAAAGATCTTATCTAAACCTAGAAAGCATCCAACGTGTGCCTTTACATTTCATCCACCAATACTTCCAGTAATACCATAGAGAACACTGGCATCAAGTGAATGCCACATAACTTATAAAGGAGTCACCCTGAAAGTCATCGACCTACAAGGCTTGGGCGAATGTTTCAGTCCTGAGTCACCCTGTCTTCTAGAAAATTAGGGGCCTGGCCCAGCCAGACCTGCCACTCTGTAGTTCTCAGGATTGGCCTGGTAGCACTCACTATCACAGCTAATACCTAGACACTGCTCTGTGCAAACTTGTGCCTTAAAATAGCCATTGGATTAACAGCAATCAGGGGACAGATGCCATAGAGCTGACTTGGCCCAGGGGATGACACTTCAGCCAAACATTAACAGAACCAATTATGCCTGCATGGCTTTGTCTAACCAGACAGGTGAGGTTATAGCCAAATAACCCCACAGCACAAAAATGTATTTATTAAATATTTCAATATGTAATCACACCAATATTTTCCAATGACATTAGTTTCACCGTTATAAGAGAAAGAGCTCTGGCTTTTGTGTGCAGTGTTTCCTTTACACGCAGTGAAACAACTTCATGTGGTGAACAGGAAAGACTCAAACACAGAGATAGAGCCTCTGATTATACTGGGGTGTTTCTCTGACTCAATCAAAGTAGGGCAAAACTAATTAGGCTGTTGCACCAGCACGTAGGATGGAAAAGGGACAGGGGAAGAGGCCTAGGGGGGGAATTTGTAATGAGGTCACAACCTCCCTATCCTCATCTTTGCAATGCTCCATTTTACATATTCAGGTTCCCCGGGAATGTGCGTGTGTGAGTGTTTGCAAATGTGCGGCTTTTATTGCTATGGTACAGTGTGCATCACCAAGGAAACGTTACATGGTGGGACTTTTTCAGTCGTATTTATTTAGATTCTGAATAGTGCTAACATTGTATCCAGGAAGTGGCTTGCAGACAGTAGCACCTTGATTTGCTTTGACCTAGAAAAGAGCCCTATTTAAAATGACCAGCTGAAGCAGTTTATTTGAATTATTACATCGGTCAACTGAGTCTAATAAAAAAAAAATCATGTCCTACAGGCTCTATTTATATAAGCACTCAAAGCAACAAATAACCCTGTCACACCTTATTGGAAAATGAAGATCTCTTGAAATCAGTGCACTGTTTGTTGAATAAGTAATTATGCCACTCATCGGTGATGAAGCTTGTTGTCAAGGCCAATGACAGCATCTGATTTCATCTCTATGGCAGCAAGGAGTGCCAGACTGTAAACAGTGAAACATCCCACAGGTACAACCCACCTCAGCACACTTAAAATGCCTTTATGTATGCAGAATAAAGTGTATCCTGATGCCATTTCAGCTATTTATATTGTTTATAGTGTTTTCATTATGATTGTTAGTCATCTAGGTCATATGATATCTAAAAAATACTTTTAGTTTTTGCCCAAGTTGCTTTTGTTTTAGTAATTCTAGATTCTAGATTAACAGTCTGTGAGCGATTCATGTTTTGAAATTAGAAACTAGTTCTGGATTTAAGTAACTTTACCGTCCCATGCACCGTAGATACCCCACTACATAACGCTACAGATTTCCTGGGAAAACCAAAGCTCCAAACAAAAGCCAAACATCCAGCCGATGTACAAACGTGGATCCAAGATGAACTGTAACTGTGCTTCACTTACCACAAGAGCAACATGTTGGCAGTGGGCTTCAGCAAACCCACTCTTTGTCTCAACTACTAAACGCTAAAGAAAAACTGTCCGAAAATGGAACCGCGTTCGTGAATGCACCGCTCTGCAGACACAAGCCTGCAGCTACAGAGCCAAGCGCCTCTTCCTCAGACATGTATTCACTCACTTAACAGGACTGTTAGCGTTACCCGACTTTTCTCAGCCAACAGTGTCTAAGGAATCCCATTACTTCCAATCCTTACAACCTACTGCTACCAAAAGCGAGCCAGATGATGGACTCACCCAAAGCTCTGTGCCCCAGTCCATGTTCAGCTTGTTGGCCAAGCTGTCTGACTATCCCGAATACAAAGAACTTCTCCAAAGTTATCCCAACAGCTCGGAAGGCGGCCCTAGCGAGTATAATCCCGAGGTGATAAATCAGTCGTAACCACTACGCACTCCGGGTTTTTTCTTCCTTCAACAAATAATGTAAACTAGAATCATAATTAACTAATTAACTAGGGCTGGCAGTCGTTTGTCTACTTTGTCCAAATAATTTTCATAGCGAAGGAAAGAGGGATAAACTAGCTTTCATATCCGCGTCACTCCCAAATCCTAAACCTTAAAGGGGCCGTGTACTGAACCACAAACCAGAGTTCCCTCTGGACTGGGCTACATCCTGATAAGTGCCCTTATAAATGCTATTTTTTCTTTTAACCCGTGTTGATTTTGAACCTGGTTTATGGGATTCACTGAGCTTATTTGTGCTGCCGGGACAGAGCATCCTTTAAAAAAAATCATCACACAGGATGTCTTGAGATACTGATGCTATAACACACTGACTGGTGCTGGCACATAAACCAGATTCACACAGTGTTAGTCAAGTCATGAATGACTCAATTAAGAGCTGGAGACTTAGTCTGTTTCTTTACAAACAAACAATTTTAACTGACTTCTTAAATCCTGAATTATTTATCTGAAATTAGTGTTGGCCTACTTACAATCCCCAATCAGTCATGACAGCAATGCATAAACTATTTAATGTGACCAACAGTTGTTAAAATGTTATTCGTTAATAAATAGCCACCGACAACAATCAAGGCTACATTGTGAAAGCAAAAAATGTGGAACCATTGAGATGATCGTTGTAATCAATGAAGGGTTTCCAGATTGAAGCACAACACATTAACACAGGGTATTGTGTAACTTTATTAAGAATAAATGAACATATGAGCTACGTACCTTCCCACAATAACACTTTTGTAAAACAAAAACACAAAAAAAGACAAAAGCTGAAATGATAATACTGTATTTACAGGCCAAAACAAAAGCTATATCTGATTAAATGTTCCGCCATGCAGCTGATTTTATCGTACCTATTCAGTAATAAATATCCTAAGCTTGAACCCCGTTAGCCTTTGTAGTCATAGGCATGCTTTGAGAGACTAAACTATATTTTCTCTGTTTCTTCCTGCGGCTGCAGTAAAGGACAATGAGGATGGTGATGGTGATCAATATCAATATAATTATCAAAATCCAGATGATGTCTCGGGGGAATTGACGGGTTTTACCTGTAAGACAAACAAGACAAAAACAACATAAATTGAAAGAGTACTTCTCACTTCTTTATGCTATAAATGTGTTATGTTTTTTGTTTTTTTTTAGCAACCTATGTACAGCAACATCAACACCAGTTACCACTTTATTGTATACATCCCAATAACTGCACACAGTCAATAAGGATACCTTTCATCACCAGTGTGACAGCTTTTGCCACACTCCCAACTTTATTCGTGGCAACACAGACGTAAACACCAGCATTGGTAGACGTGGCTCCTGTGATGCTGATGTTCTTCTGGCGCCCCCCAGTGGTCTCCATTACATTGTCTGCAGAGGTGTAGTTCCAACGGATCACAGGGTCAGGATTACCCTCAGCATGGCAATCAAACGTCACATTTGCATCCAGGGTCACTTCCAAAGTGTAACTTCCCTTCCTGAACACAGGGGCATCTGTGGAGAGGAGGGTGAGATTACAGAAGAATAAATAAAAATTGTATTTATAATCCCATAAGACTTATAGTCACTGTCAGCAAAGCAAGATGCAAAGACTCATTTTGTAATTCCAAACAACAAAACTTACACAAAACATCAACATATAACATGTGATTGGCTGTTCCATGATTGTTTGTGGCTTTAAGTGAATAACTTCCACTATCATGCTTTCTCCAGTACTGTGGGGTTGACATCTGTTTTCCATCTTTATACCAGATGATGTCAGGTTTAGGTTCTCCCTGTGGCACACACTCATTTTGGAGTTTACCGTCTGCTTGAACCTCGTAGCTTTTATCGCAGTTAAATGAAGGTGGATCTGTAAACATTGCATCAAAAAACTTTTCAGAATAAATGATGGAAAAAGAAATATCAACATATCAACACTTTGGTACAGTGCATGAGGGAATCATGGAAAATAAGGTGCTTATATTATAATGAAATACATAGTCAAGCAAGTCCAATGCACTCACATTCAATTGTGATATGAACTGTGGTGCTGATGCTGCCAAGGCTATTCACAAATTTAGCTGTGTACTCTCCTGACTGAGCCCTAGTGAGAGGCTCAGATGCATTGATCCGTTTTCCTTGATAGTACCACTGAAGAGTGGGTTCAGGGTTCCCATCAGCCTTACAGATCAAACTGTCCATATGGAACTCGTGTTCCACACCTCTGTAACTGCCGGGACAATTTTGGATCTGTGGCTTATCTACAATTAAAATGAATGAAAAAGTATATATTATCAGTTGTTTAGCATGTGAAATCCAGTTATAAATAGAGAAGTGGAAAACTCACAGTACACAACAGCAGTATAAGGTGATGATTCTGCAGCAGGGACGAGTTCTGGCCCTTTTGGTCCAAGGTGGAGTTCAGCCACACATTTAAAAAGTGCTCTGTCATCATTTCTGCTAGAAGTGGCCATCAAGGTAGAGGACACATTGACTGGGGTCACAATGGGGTCACTAAACCTTTGTTTGTGCACCATTTCACTTCCTTTGTACCACTTCACTTGGAGCTTCTCCTGAGGAGCAACATTGATGATGTCACAATTTAGCTTATATTCTGTGCCCTCCACCATAGGACTGCTATCCAACGAGACCGTCACAGCGTCTGGAGTCTCTGTGAATAAAGCAAGGGAAAATAATTTGTAGGAAAACGCAAATGTAAAGATATCCCTAAAATTGTAACCACAACTGTACAAGAAATGTGCATACACAAATGTATTAGTATTAACAAGCTTGTTGCTGTTTTAGTTATTCCACATCTGTGCTTTTCAAGGCTTTTTTACACCATCATTTCCATATTTACTTAGCTTTTTAAGTGGAAATGTAATGTACCATTAAAAGTTTCTGTAAGCAGACATAATCACTTTCATGGCAAACATTTAGTTCGACAATCCTCTTGACATGAATACAGCTGACAGCAGTCTGTAAAAACAGCAGAATCTTTTGAGTCTTTTAAAGAGTGTCCTAAGACACCATGCCTAACCCTGCAATGTTTCTAGACAGGATTTGCATTCTGCATTGATGATTGTCTGCATGGATGTGAGATGTGTGATGATGGTGTCTTGTGATACTCTTTTTGCTCAGCATTTGTTGTAAAGCACAAATCTGGATTGTTTTTTAAGCACTCTACAGATAAATATGACCTTAACCTGTAGACGTATACTCACTATAAACAGTGATGTCTGGCTTTACAGAGCACTGGCTATCAATGAGAGTCACGTAGCACTTAGATTCTATTGTCCACTCTTGCACTTTTTCAACCTTCCAGGTTACCAGAGAAGAATTTTCAAACCCTGTGCCTCCAAATGTAGCCTCCCAGCCCATTCCCTCAAAATGGGCTACGTCTGTTGTGCTGCAGTTAACTGAAACTGGATCTCCAAATCTAACCACAGCTTCAGCAGGCATCAACACTAGGGGGCAACCTGTCATTCAAAAGCAAACATATTCAGTCAGACCTCTGTAGATTTTAGTGCACAACAGATATTAAGTGTAAACTAATTTAAAGGACACAAGGATGTACTGTTTACCTTTTTTTGTTGTAGCTCCAGGGTCAGGCATGGCTGCAGGAGCTGCTGCTCTTGGTATCACACGTACATTGATGATCTTCGTTATGTTTCCCAGGTAATTGGTCGCTTTGCAGCTGTAGGTAGCGTTGCTTGTAACTTGAATAATACTGAGATTATTCATGTTTTCCAACATGTTCACCCCATCTCTGGTCCAATTAAAGACAGGAGGAGGATTCCCCTCTGCTTCACAGGTCAGGGTGACATCATCACCCTCATCCACATCAACAATGTCATTATCTGTATTGTTCCTGAGCTCAGGAGCATCTGAAGAGGCAAATGGAGTGTTTTAATTCTTTCAAATATTTACATGATAGAAAACAACAATGAAAAAGTGAACATTTAAAATTAAAACAAAGGTTCTGTTTATCTGGCAAAAAACTGATTGTTTACTCACAGTGCACAGAAACATTGTATGTGGCATACATAGCAGGAAGTTGTGGCCCGGATGTACCAAACTCAAGTTGAGCCTCACATCTCAACTGAGCTCCATGTTGATCTTTTCTGAGGACGACTTTCCAAGTAGAGAATGTATTTACTGGTGTTTTGGATGTGTTGTTGAAAGAGTCCGTCTTGATGATTTGATTGTTTATGTACCACCTAACAATGAGGTTTTTAACAGGAGCAACCTCTTGGATATCACACCGCAGCTCGTACGGTTTCCCTTCCACAGCAGCATGTATATTCTTTGTAGGAAACAGGTCGACGTTCACTGGATTCTCTATCGAAACAAAATTAGAAAATGGAGTTACTTTTTTTAAAATGTTTTTTTCATTCTGTCATATTAATTTGAAATGACACTTATCTCCCTTGCCTACCCCTGCAATGTTTCTAGACATGATTGACATTCTGCATTGTTGACTGTCTGTATGCACGTGTATGTGTGTATATATGTGTGTATATGTGGACTATGTATTTATCCATGTTTTTATATACTTGTGTCTTGTGATACTCTTTTTGCTCAGCGTTTGTTGTAAAGCACTTTGACACAAATCTGGATTGTTTTTTAAGCACTCTACAGATAAATATGACCTTAACCTGTAGACGTATACTCACTATAAACAGTGATGTCTGGCTTTACAGAGCACTGGCTATCATTCAGATTCACGTAGCACTTAGATTCTATTGTCCACTCTTCCAGATTTTCAACCTTCCAGGTTACCAGAGAAGACTTTTCAAACCCTGTTCCTCCAAATGGAGCCTCCCAGCCCATTCCCTCAAAATGGGCTACGTCTGTTGTGCTGCAGTTAACTGAAACTGGATCTCCAAATCTAACCACAGCTTCAGCAGGCATCAACACTAGGGGGCAACCTGTCATTCAAAAGCAAACATATTCAGTCAGACCTCTGTAGATTTTAGTGCACAACAGATATTAAGTGTAAACTAATTGAAAGGACACAAGGATGTACTGTTTACCTTTTTTTGTTGTAGCTCCAGGGTCGGGCATGGCTGCAGGAGCTGCTGCTCTTGGTATCACACGTACATTGATGATCTTCGTTATGTTTCCCAGGTAATTGGTCGCTTTGCAGCTGTAGGTAGCGTTGCTTGTAACTTGAATAATACTGAGATTATTCATGTTTTCCAACATATTCACCCCATCTCTGGTCCAATTAAAGACAGGAGGAGGATTCCCCTCTGCTTCACAGGTCAGGGTGACATCATCACCCTCATCCACATCAACAATGTCATTATCTGTATTGTTCCTGAGCTCAGGAGCATCTGAAGAGGCAAATGGAGTGTTTTAATTCTTTCAAATATTTACATGATAGAAAACAACAATGAAAAAGTGAACATTTAAAATTAAAACAAAGGTTCTGTTTATCTGGCAAAAAACTGATTGTTTACTCACAGTGCACAGAAACATTGTATGTGGCATACATAGCAGGAAGTTGTGGCCCGGATGTACCAAACTCAAGTTGAGCCTCACATCTCAACTGAGCTCCATGTTGATCTTTTCTGAGGACGACTTTCCAAGTAGAGAATGTATTTACTGGTGTTTTGGATGTGTTGTTGAAAGAGTCCGTCTTGATGATTTGATTGTTTATGTACCACCTAACAATGAGGTTTTTAACAGGAGCAACCTCTTGGATATCACACCGCAGCTCGTACGGTTTCCCTTCCACAGCAGCATGTATATTCTTTGTAGGAAACAGGTCGACGTTCACTGGATTCTCTATCGAAACAAAATTAGAAAATGGAGTTACTTTTTTTTAAATGTTTTTTTCATTTTGTCATATTCATTTGAAATGACACTTATCTCCCTTGCCTACCCCTGCAATGTTTCTAGACATGATTGACATTCTGCATTGATGACTGTCTGTATGCACGTGTATGTGTGTATATATGTGTGTATATGTGGACTATGTATTTATCCATGTTTTTATATACTTGTGTCTTGTGATACTCTTTTTGCTCAGCGTTTGTTGTAAAGCACTTTGGCACAAATCTGGATTGTTTTTTAAGCACTCTACAGATAAATATGACCTTAACCTGTAGACGTATACTCACTATAAACAGTGATGTCTGGCTTTACAGAGCACTGGCTATCATTCAGAGTCACGTAGCACTTAGATTCTATTGTCCACTCTTCCAGATTTTCAACCTTCCAGGTTACCAGAGAAGACTTTTCAAACCCTGTTCCTCCAAATGGAGCCTCCCAGCCCATTCCCTCAAAATGGGCTACGTCTGTTGTGCTGCAGTTAACTGAAACTGGATCTCCAAATCTAACCACAGCTTCAGCAGGCATCAACAGTAGGGGGCAACCTGTCATTCAAAAGCAAACATATTCAGTCAGACCTCTGTAGATTTTAGTGCACAACAGATATTAAGTGTAAACTAATTTAAAGGACACAAGGATGAACCTTTTTTTGTTGAAGCCTCAGTGGTAGGTATGGCTGCAGGAGTTGCAGGGTTTGCTATCACACGTACATTGATGATCTTTGTGACGCTTCCCAGGTAATTGGTAGCTACACAGCTGTAGGTCGCGCTGGCTTTGATTTGAATAACGTTGAGCTTATTCGTGTTCTCTAACATATTCACCCCATCTCTGGTCCAAATAAAGGCAGGAGGAGGATTCGCCTCCACTCCACAGGTCAGGGTGATGTCATCACCCTCATACACAACAATATTGTCAGGGTTCTTGAGCTCAGGAGCATCTGAAGAGGCAAATGGACTGTTTTAATTAATTCAGATATTAACATGTTAGAAAACAACAGTGAGAAAGGTTAAAGTTATAAATAAAAAAAGATTCTGTTTATCTGGAAACAACAGATTGTTTACTCACAGTGCACAGAAACATTGTATGTGGCATACATAGCAGGAAGTTGCGGTCCGGATCGTCCAAAGTCAAGCTGAGCCTCACATCTCAACTGAACTCCATGTTGATCTTTTCTGAGGACGACTTTACTAGTAGAGAATGTATTTACTGGTGTTTTGGATGTGTTGTTGAAAGAGTCCGTCTTGATGATTTGATTGTTTATGTACCACCTAACAATGAGGTTTTTAACAGGAGCAACCTCTCGGATATCACACTGCAGCTCATATGGTCTCCCTACCACCGCAGAGTTTGTATGCTTTGTAGGAAACAGGTTGACCTTCACTGGATTCTCTATCAAAATAAAATTAGATTAAAGTTACTTTAGAGGTTTTTTTTATGTATTTTGCCATTCTGTAATACTCATTTGAAATTACACTTACTGTATACAGTGATTTCAGCGTCTTTGCTGCATTCAGCAGAATTGTTCAGTTTTATTACGCACTTGGCGGTTACATGCCAGTCTGACAGTGGCACTGACCATCCGACAAAATCCAGCTCGTCTTCTTTTTCAGAGGTTGTGGTTCCACTTCTCCAGTACATCTCTTCATATTCCAATTCTGTGCTTGTGCAGTTTAGTATGACTGTCTTTCCATATTCTCCTATGACCTCAGGAGGATGCACGGTGAGAGGGTTGGACTCAGTTGGGCATGTACTGTCTGCCTCTGTTGATACACAAATGGTAAAGTTTTTATTGGAGTTTAAAAGTAGACTTTACTCTGTTGACTCAGATTACCAATGCATGCAACCTATAGTTAACAGTTTATGGCTGGATTCTAGCTCACAGTAAACTGTCATGTTACCAGTAATAAGATCTGCACTTTTTTAGACACATTATACAATAACTGAGAGAAAAGTTGCACCTTGTCTTCTTCGGATGTAAAAGTGATAAAAAAGAAAATAATAATGATAAGGTGCAAAAAATAAATACGTCCCTCTTATACAGTATTCACGCTACAAACTATGATAAAGTTTTGTAATTAAAAATTGGGGGAAAAAAGTAGTTTACAAGCAGCACCGAATTTACTGGCGTGTGCTAAGACTACAGCTGTCCTGCTTATTGTTTTAATACATTTTATCTTAAAATCATGGACAGCAACTATCAACCACACCTACCACGCAGTTACTGCGGTTTACACAAGTCAACTGTCAGAATAAGAGCGGAAGATAGAGCAGCCCACATTATAACACCAACCACACCCACTTTAAAGCTCAAATAAGTCAATTTTTTTGTATTTGTGTTAATAGAAAAGTGTTTTAGATATAGATAATATAATATATAATAGAGATATTGTCTAGTATACATTTAAACATTTTTTGTGGTTACCAACACTGTTAACACATAGAGCTACTGAAACTATAAGCAAGCAAGAAACTACATCAGCATTTAAATGTTTTATCCCTAGCCACAGCATAAATCTAGTGCATAACATTAAAGACCCATGAAGATATATTGTATAGTATAGATCATTATATATAATCATTACTCACCACACAGTAAAAATATGAGCATGAGATGGCCCAACATCCTGAGATGCCACATGCTAGATCAGCAAGCGGGAGAAAGGATGTGGATGAAAGGGGTGAGGTGTGTTTCAGGATTGTCCAGCAGATGTCCAGATTCAGTACCTGAATAAGATGAGTCCTGGCACAGAACTGGCCTTGGTGATGATGGTCTGCTGCTGACAGTTACAAGAACTGAGGGGAAAAAAACTGAAATTATACCTCAGGAAATTCAACGCCCCGGTGAACAGGAACTGCAAAACGGAAATATGACACCATAACCACAGTCAGTTGTTTGTGGAAACACTGTAGATGATCACCTCTCGTATTTTTGTGTGATAATTCACTGTATCTTTTTTAAAGCATTTTAAAAACAGTCATACAGGAGCTAATTTGGCATAATTTTATTAAATTGGAAAATATCAAATTTTGTCAAGAAATTGCAACACAGAGGACAGACATAGCAACTCAGTACATTAGTCACTGTCCAGTGATTTACTAACAAACAATACAAAAGTCATTGACTGGCCTCTAATCAACAAGTATAGACAGTTTTTTATTAAACAGGCACACTGGCTGTACAGGGCTGGCAACGGAAACATATTACTTAAGGCCTTCTACATATGTCTACATCAGTTCGTCATTGCGTTTCTTTCTCACATGTCCATAATGCAACTAGTTATGTGGGTTTGATCATCATGGAAACTCGTTTGAGAGAGTAGGACCCTCCGTGGAACTCAGCCCAGTAGACCCCATCCTGGTAGCGGCTGCGATAGTGTCCACCCCGATACCACACACCGTTTAGATTGGAGTGGGCACACATGTGGTACCACCAGCCTCCTTTTTGATAATGTGCGCAGTTACCTGGTGACACAACAGAGAAGCCGGTTAATTAACAGGAAAAGTCCAAATACCACCAGACAACTGACAAACATGACCACAGGGAGGACAGACCTGTATAGCTGTCCTTGTCTCGATCCAGAGTGGTGAAGGCCTTGTTGTTGTGCCACGACAGGGAGTCCCCTGCATTGCCATGGTATTGTCCTAACCGCAGTCGGTACCAGTCACTCTCTGGTTCCAGGTGGAAGCTGTCATACTCGGCAAACACCTGCCGACCCTGCCAGTCCTCCAGAGCCACCCGTAGCTTATATTGGGCCTGTTTAGTAATCCAGTAGAGGTGTTCCAGGCCGAGCCAATACTCCCCATCTAGGTTCCCGAAGCCTTGCTGCAATATACATGTACGTACACACAATATTCTTTAGAATGACGGTCCACCACTTTGGTCCACACCTAAATATTTAAACTACTATTAGATGGATTGCCATGGTATGTTGTAACACATTCACTGTCCCATCCTACTGACTTTTGCTGATGTCTGAATTTACCTCTAGTGCAGCAGGTCAGAGTTTTTATTTAACTATCCTGTGAAATATTTCAACATCTACTGGATGGATTAGCACACAAAATGGTGAACACATTCATGTCCCCCTGAGGATGAATTGTAATAACACTAGTCAAGTCCCCCAACTTTTACAATACTGTGGATTTTGACTGAGTACCTGAAAAACTAATGACATTCCCATCAGCTTTAGGTGTACTTTTGTGCTAATTATGAAATGCCAGCATGCTAACACGCTACACTAAGATGTAAAGAAACATCAGCATATTAGCATTGTCATTGGGACCATTTTAGCATAGCTCGAAGCAACACTAGCATGGCTGTAAACCGCTAACCCCAGAGTGCTTTGCAGACTTTCAGGTGTGTGGAATCACCTTATACTGCTCCCACGTCCTGAAGAAGTTAACCGACCCATCCTGCCTCCTCTGGATGACCGTCCACCCTCCCTGAGCCTGACTCTGCTCACACCAGGCCTGCAGGAGGCGGTTGGCACTCTGCGGGCGGAGAAGGTAGATCCCACTGGTGGTCTCACCTGATTCCAGCACATGCTGGCAGTCCCGCCACGGCCCTGAGAGTTTTTTTGTAATGATAAATACATTTTCTTAATTCCTTGATAGTATTTTGTAATTATTTACTTTATCGTATTCATATTTTTTGTTGAATACTCTAATGTTAATCGTAAAAATGATTCAGTTTTTGAGATTCTCTTTTTCTGCTAATGATGACATTAAGGCCAGCTCTTAGCTCTTAGATTGAGTTAATTAGTCTGGAGAGCATACAGTTTTCTGAATGAGTCGAATAGAGACAGAATAGATCTGTGATTTTTCTTTTTTTCTCATAGTAAAAAATGGAGTTACTGGCTTCAGAGGATTTATTTTGTGTCAAACACATTGCTTTTACACCAACTTTAACTCTGCAGTGTCAGTGTTGGAAAACACAAAAGAGTACTGGTTACAGAGTCTTTTGGAATTCTGTTTGTTTTAGTGTCAGGAAGATCACAGATACATAACAACTCCAGCTTATCTTTTAAGAGCTAAAGAATTTTTCCCCGACGCATGTTCAGTGTCTCATGTCACTGTGATAAAGATGAGCATAGGAATCTGCGCAGAGAAAATGTATACATGGAGAAAGATTTCCCACACAGAGTGATAATAACTAATGGTGTTCCCTGACAAGCATTTGAGAGTCACATTCTCAATGTAAAGATGTAGCAATGCACGGTCTTTCGTCAGGCCTTTTAGGAAGTTGTGAGTCATTCACATGCTTCGCTTCTGCTGACATGTTTAAAGGACTGTGCAAGTCCTCTACTTTGTCATTTCAAACACTCCAGTTTTGCAAGTATAGGTCAGCAGTGTAAAGCTTCAACAAATGCTGCGGTTCATATGTGTGCTTACAAGTGTGTCTTCATTAGAAAGTCCACTCTGCTCTGATAAGAGCTGCTAGCTGTTGTTGACATTTTTTAGGCATTCCCAGAGAGATAGGGCTCCTACCAGCAGGTCACTGACTCCTTCAGCTTCTCTATTATCTAAGCAGCTAAATAACTCTAACAGAAGATAGATACGCGTATACATATATCGGTTTAAGTGTAACCAAGTATTTCTGCTATCAGACATGCTTTACATTGATGTACCTGGAGTCTTTGTGACAGGGAAACTAATGAAGGGAGGGTCTGTAGGAGTGTTGACTGTCGTGGTGGGGATTGAAGGAACTGTTTTTTCCTGCTTTGGTGGAGAAGCACTTTGGTCCCTTTGAACATCGTTGGTCATTTCGTTGGCTTCAGAGCTGTAATTAGGATGCACATTAGACTGGCTTTTTGGTGGTTCAGTCGCCACCTGTCCAAACCAAAGCACAAAAACAGCACACCATTCTCAGTTCCTGTTCCTGTGTTCCTACATTTGTAACATGCAGACCAGTTTTTGTCCTACCAGAGAGGCCTGGGTGGAGTCCCTGCACTGGCACTGCTTCTCCAGACGAGCAATAAACTGGTTCTGGGAGCTCATCATGGAGGTGAGGGTTCCATATTTCTTCTCCAGCTCTCTGTAGTTACTGGAAACCTGCAGCGCCTGAGACATTCCACCACAGTTTGATGACGATTAGGATAAGATGTAGCTTTGCTGTGACATGACTCAAACATGAACAAGAACTGCAGCCCTCTGCTCACCTGTGTTGTAGCATTTAGCAGGAGGTTCTCCACCCTTCGCTGCTCCACAGCCTGGTCTTTCTTGTGTATGACTTCATGCAGCAGCTGGGCATAGAGCTGGGCAATGCGAGAATTCATGTTGCTGCTCTCTTTGCGCAGGGCTCTTACCTCCATTGCAAGGGACCCCTCCTGCTCCAGTTGGCTCCGAAGCTTCTCCAGCTGTTCCTGCTGCCGTGTGAGCTCCACCCGCAGCGCTGCCACCTCCGAGTGGTTGGCAGAAGCAGACTGCGTGTTCAAACACAGCGCACCGGTCAGTTTTTGCTGTGGAACAATGAAGGTGTAGGAGCAACGTCCTCCTTTAGTATCTGAGGATCGTGATGAACGCTTCTGAGTGTTCTCGCCATGGCCCCCCTCTTTCCGTCCTCCAGCTTCTGCTATGTCCACACAGAGCGTTAAGAATAGAGTCAGACCTATTGTCAGTGTCTTCTCCATGAATCTGTTAAACTTCTCAGGACGCACTGGTGGTGGAAGAGAGGACATGATTAGAATCACCACAGCAATGCCAACACATAAAGAAAAACAAAAATGAATCAACACAGACACACTTTGATACAAACACATGAACTTTGTATTGAGTGAAACTTTGTGCTGTGGGTCTTGACTAGTTCCCCAGATGTTTCCTTGCAAAGTGAAAATACACACTTTTTCCCATGGCTGGAATTTATTAGCAGGTCAACACTGAAGGGACAACAGTCAACATCAACCAGCCAGAATCAACACACCTCCATCTCGCGGTCAACAGAGAGTTAGCTCCACGTTCAACCACAACAACCACGGTCAACACCATAAACACATGAATCCACATAGGTCAATATTGACATCTGACACAAAAATATCCTGCAGGCCTGGAACAATTTCCAGGCAGAACAGATGACCAGTATATCTTATAATGATTTAAAGAGCTAATTATTAATTTGTCCAAGTCTAATTTAGGAGGCTATAACCAGTTTATATACGTGTAATTCTACGTTAAAGTGGATTATACTGACATAGCATAGAGGCCCTTCACAGCTCAGAACTTACCGTAGCAGCTGAAAAGGGTTTAGGATGTCTTTGTTCTGCTCCAGTGTATAGCTGCAGCTCCCAGGATGCACAGATGTAAAATGAAGACTAACGCATCTTAAAAAATCACATATTCAAGTCACATAGGCGAGCTCTTTTCTTCCAAACTAAAAGTCTGTTGAAGTGAAGATGAAGGCCGAGGAATTTGGGTCACACAAAAAAAAAAGGCAATGAGAAGACACGCCAGTCAGCAGCTAAACTACCTCTTCTTCTCCCGAGGTCCTGTCTCAGGGTCTCTGAAGAAGGAGACAACTAATTACAAACTATCCAAATGACGGCACCTCCCAGTACTTTAACTGGGAGCTCAGTGCAGGAATCCTGGGATGTCTCCTCCCTCTGCCATCAACCTGCTACCCTGCCACTTAGAAGGAACTCCGTGTGGTAGTGTTTGAATGCTCAAGAGCTGATTATTTTCATTATCAATTAACATGTTAATAATTTTCTTGATTTACTGATTGATTGTTTAATTTAAAAAATAATGGAAAATGCCTAGGAGTCTAAGTTGGTGTCTTCAAATATCTTCTTTTGTCTGATCAACAGTCCAAAAATATCCAACGCTATACAATTTACTATTATATACGACAAAGAAAAACATCAAAATATCACATTTGAGCAGCTAGAAACAGCAAATGTTGAACTTTTCTACTCAACAAAACAACTATCAAAATATTTGACGATTCATTTTCTGATGTTCAACTAATCAATTAAACTACACTGCATCCCCACTGAAACATACATTTGCTTCGGTGAAAAAAATATGCAGCAAAATAGTGTTTCTTTGGGCATTGTGGTCCCTTTCAGAGTTTTATATTATACAAGATGCACCTCAGAAGTGGCACGACTTGGATTCTGTACTGTGAGGTCAGATTTCTGTGAGGGCACAGCTCATAAAACAGCATTCAAGGAAGTGTTTTCCAGAGCTACAGTTATATTTTTCATTTATGTCAACTTACTTGTTTTATGTGGACCAATGGAGGATAAATAATATGCACAAAACAACAAAGAAAACAGCTAAATACATAAGTGATTAACTTACACACTGTAGTTACTTACTGTGTTAAGTAATGACCAACAACTGGTGGGAACTGTGACCACATGCAGGATTGCAGAAGTCTTTTACCCAGTGTGATCAAGCTGTTCACTGGTTACTGTTATTATCATTTGGAAATATCAGTCAGGGGGATTTTGTGACTTCCTGGAATGTGGTTAGGGATGAAGAAATTGAGCGTACCAGAGTGTAATTACATCCACGTAGGTTTGCCGCCATCTAGTGGTCACGATGAGAAACTGGAAAATGCAGCTATTACTTCGAAACAGGACAAAGACATAAATCGGAATCACTTTATTGGCCAGGTATGTGCACACATACAAAGAATTTGAATCCGGTTTTACGTTGCTTTTAATATACAAACACAGACTAAGCGTAAATTAACATAAATAAACAGGACAACAAGCTCAACAAAACAGATAAACTATTACGTAGAGTTATACATATATATAAACAAAAACAATAATATTTGTAGCGGTAATGCAGAGTGCAAAGGATGCGGAAATATATATTTTACATGCAGGTTTCTTTATGTACATGATGTAGGTGGATATGACAGTATATACAGTATAAGAATGTACAGCTAGATATAGATATATTTGAATTGAATTCCAACAATGGATAAATAATAGTTTACAGGTTCAGCGGATGTTACAGTGTTATTGTACAGATAACATTCATTACGAATGGTCTCATTAATAAGAATATAAAGCAATAAAAATAAAAACATTACAGGTTAATGGGTTTTTCGCAGCTTCTGAAAGCTATTTTATTATTAGGGGGAGGCGGTTCCAGGGGGTGGGAGCCACAACTGCAAAGGCTAAAAATGTTAATGTATTATATCAAATAGTTATATTACCATATGTGTATGTATGTATTTTACTGTGGCGAGAAAACTATTATGATTATTTCAGATGAGTTCCTTTGCGATTGCTTCACTTTGGTCACTTTCTTTTGAAGGCACTTGGCGGAAGTGGTGAACTGCGCTGATGAAGAAAGTCTATTTGTAAACTCTAACTGCGATCAGTGGAGAATAGTTAACATGGTGGTTTTATTTAGCGCTGCAGTTCCCAACTGTGGCCAGTGGAGGGCAGTGGACGGATTGTAAATACACAGGAGAGTTTTGGTTTAAACAGTCTTTTTTTTTTTAATTCTAATATAAGTGTAGTAGTATTAATTACAGGAGTATTTGCAACAAACCGATGTTAATACAGTTATAACAAATACTGCTGCTACTACAACTATGACCTTTTCATATATATCAATTAAATCTTTGTGCTTTCAGTAAAGGGATTATTTCACCTCACGTTAAAAAAAACAAAAAAAACAACAACGTGAGATTAACAAATAAACAATCCTCAGTCTACCTGGGAGCATTGTTATAATTAAATGTGACTTTTACAAACATACATTACACTCAGTGAGTGAGCAGGCTGCACACGGAACTACTGTTGCTGGGAACTATATTACCAGACACGTGAGCGACACGGACACGTTAGCTTGTGACTCACAGTGGTAGTGGAGCCATGTGGAAGGTGTCGCGTTAACGTTGCAGTAGAGTTGTTTAACCTGTTGAAGATTTAACTTTAACGGCGCAATGGACGGGTTTTTGGTTTGTTTTGTTTTTTTTACCGACAGCACAAATAAAGTGTAGCAACAATTAAAGTGAATGTGTTGATTCATCCGCGTTACAACCCGCTGAATAATGGGGAAATCTAAGGTAAGTAACGGCCTGTGCTAGCAGGTTAGCCTTACGAGAACTTAACAATATTATATAATTACTGTTCTTTATTAGGATTAACTCAGATACCTGTAGTTTAACTGCAGGTGGCGGCTGACGTGTGATAATGTTAATGTGATTTGGTAAAATCTGGTCATTTTATCTGATGTGTAAGATTTGATAGCAATAAGCTTTAATCGTAATTCAAAGCAAAAAAATAAATAAAAATCTGTTAAATGTCACTTAAATATTGTTTCATGATAACTAATGTGTGGATATTTTGCTTGCAGACCAAGAACCAGAAGAAATCCCGAGCAACAGCCAACCATGTGGCCGAGGAGACGTACGGAGCTGTCCCCCACTCCTTCGTCTTCCATCGGGGTCAGATTGGGAAAAACGTGGGTCAGCTCATCCTGGACGTGCGGAGGGTCATGGAGCCATTCACCGCAGAGTCCCTGAAGGTCCGTCTTTAAAACTACACCATAGATGTCAAAGCTACTGCTGAATGAGGCGGCCATGTGTTAACTCCTTTTTGTTGCTTTAAAGGGCATTACGTGTGTGAATTTCCCCTTGGGGATGAATAAAGTGTCTATCTATGAATCTAGATCTACGGTCAATGTGGGCTTTACTTTAAGTTTGGAGCAAAATCTTGAGATTTGCCTGATTAAAACCATCTTTGCCGTATCATGCTTTTCCTCACTAACTTTGCTTGAAACTGCCTTTTTGTACAGATTAGGAAAAAGAACGTGCTGAAAGACTTTGTGGCCATCGCGGGACCACTGGGAGTGACGCACTTCATGATCTTCAGTAAGACCCCCAGCAGTCTCAACATGGTAGGATCAGATCACATTATTAAGCAAACAGGTCCTGGGGGCTGGAAGGTCCCATTCCCCCAACAACACATTTCTTGTGCTTTCAGAGACTTGCTCGACTTCCCAAAGGTCCCATGCTTCATTTCAGAGTGCTCAAGGTAAATATATGAACTTAGAAATAAAACACTAGCACAATAGATTAATGGGCTCAGATGATGAGAGTTTAATATTTGACTGTTAGTGATGTTTTCAAAGTAAACGCACTGATGAGCCCAAACTGCCACGGTTGTTATTATTACTCTTATTTTGTTTTTTCCCCACATTTATACTGGCTCTTGCTCTGTTTTTTCCCACAGTACTCTCTGGTCAAAGATGTGGTCTCATCCCTGAAGAAGCACCGGATGCACGAGCAGCAGTTCACACACCATCCACTACTCATCCTCAATAATTTTGGAACTGATGGCATGCATGTCAAACTCATGGCCACCATGTTTCAAAACATGTTTCCTTCCATTAATGTGCACAAGGTAGGTTTGTCTGGTAAAACTGTCGCTGTTATCACTTTGGTTGACTCAAGATTTAAAGCCTTGTTGGCATGATGACAGTATAGTCTTCTGAGATTACCTTTGAAGATTTCTAAAAAGTAAACGCTTTCTGATTTCCGAATCTTTGAGTCATTCTGCGCTGTAAAAGTTAAACACTGATTTCTGGCAAAAATATGTAAAGATATTGTTGTTTTCCAGGTAAACCTAAACAACATCAAGAGGTGTGTGCTGCTGAATTACAACCCGGCGACCCAGGAAATAGAATTTCGACATTAGTAAGTAAATGTGTTTGCAAGTGTGTATTAAGTGGTTGGTAAAGTACAGAGATGTAGGGCTGGGTGCTGAACCAAATCAGATTAACTCAAATATACAGTTTTGCCAGATGTGTGAATAAAAACTGCGATTTTTATCTTTTAACACAGTCCTGAAAGAAGTGTTGTTGTTATTCAGTTGTTAGAACTGTCAGTATTAAGTGTTACATTCAGACCACATCACCCCGCCCTACACAAGTGTAGTTTTCAGTTAACCAGCAATGGTTTGGCTCAGATGATGACAGATTGTGAATTGACTGTTCAGTGATGTATGTTCAAAGTAAACGCACTGATGAGCCGCCACACAATAACCTGATCCTTACTATGTATTAGTTTTTTTTTTAAATATCACACTGACCCACGCAATCGTGTTCTCAACCTGCAGCAGCCTGAAGGTCGTCCCCGTGGGCATGAGCCGCGGAGTGAAGAAGCTGATGCAGGAGAGGTTCCCCAACATGAGCAAGTTTGAGGATATCAGTGAGCTGCTGATGAAGTAAGGTTCTTGTGAAGGTACAATTCTTTTAGTCCAGAGACCCAAGAGGAGCCGCCTTGTTTGTAGGCAGTCTGTGGCTGTAGCATCTGATGAACTACTTTGTGCTCCTCAGGGGGGCGAACCTTTCAGAAAGCGAAGCAGAACAAGATGGCGAGCACAACATCACGGAACTGCCGCAGGTCTACTCCGGCCGAGGCAACATGGCGTCCCAACAGAGCGCTGTCCGTCTGACTGAGGTGAGCGCTCTGAAGAAGTCTAACTCCTGCAAACAATGTGACGATGCTTGGACGGCACCTGAATTGTTGCTCTGTGTTGTCTTCAGATTGGGCCTCGCATGACTCTGCAGCTGCTGAAAATACAAGAAGGAATGGGAGAGGGGAATATCATTTATCACTCAATCAGTGAGTGCACGTTTGTCCTTATTTCTTTTCTTTCTGCTTGATATATATTCTGGTGTACATGATGAAGAAAAACAGTATGAATTCTATGATTTCTCTATAAAAGTAAACGCTTACTGATACATCAAAAGATGACTCTGCTTTTCATGTAGGCCTGGTACAGATTGTCTTTTTAATGAGAAATTGTTATATACTCCGTTTGCCAGTCTCCAAGACGGAGGAGGAGATCCAGGAGATCCTGAACAGGAAGGAGGCCCAGCTGAAAGACAAAGAGGGTCGCCGGAAAAAACAGGAGCAGAATGTTGCTCAGAAGAAAGAGCAACGAGAAGAGAACAAGTAATTTGGCCTTACAGATGATTTGACCCCTCTTAAATATCCCTTTTTCTTTCTTTTTGGATGAAGTGTAAAAAAATGTTTGCCCCTCCTGTCTTTGCAGAAAAAGGAGCCTGGAGGGCATTAAGAGGAAACATGCCGAGGCTGAAGAGGACAGCGAGGTGGAGGATCCTGGGATGCAGGACGACCAAAGACCTGTTGTTGAATCTGATGATGAGGTGGAGTACTACAGACAGGCTGTAGGAGAGGAGCCAGATGAAGGTGAATGTAACTAGCGTGCTATAAACCATTATCTCTTGGTTCTAGTTTTGGATGTAGTTATTGACAAAGACATTTTTTTTCTTTTTTCCCTGCAGACATGTTCCCTAGTACCAAGAAGAGGAAGCTGGCCCCTGGTAAACAACCATGGAGAGACAGAGATTCCAAATCACCAAGGAGAGATGGTCCAGGAGGATCGCAGCACAGAGACAAAGCAGGAAAAGGCTGGAAGAACTCCAGGGACGGGGACAAACCATTCGGAAAGAAAATGAAGCCGGGAGGAAAGACATTCGGCGGCAAAAAATATGGTGACGGTGATAAGAAATTTGGTGGGAAGAAGAAATTTGAGGGGAATAAAACCTTTGGTGGAAAGAGTAATAAGGACAAATCGTTCAGATCTAAAGGTCAGAAACCCAAGCCGGGCTTTAAGAAGAAAGGCGCAGGAGGCTTTAAACAGAGGAAGGGAAAAGGCTGAAAACTCTGCCTCTTCTTTCTGGACTTTGGACATTGAATGTGTTTATTGTGCTGGAGCAGCAGATGGCAGCAAGCATCCATTTGCCATCAATGCCTCAGTCTGTGCAGTGAGTTATGGTTGCCTGTGAGACTGTTGATTGCTGAAACTCAGCAAGACAAAAGTAAACAAATGTGCTATATTTTCACAATGTATGATTAATATTGAATATGTACTTGTTCAATAAATGGTTTAAAAAATGTCTAGTGAATTATTTTATTGTCAGTTTTGCCTCTTTCTTGGGATTTCATAAGATAAGATGTACCTTTTAATGATCTCCATTAGGAGAAATGGATTCTTCAAATGGATTCTAACTAGAATGTCAAGTCATTTTAAAATAAAATTATTTTATTTCCCAAGCTGATACAGACGTAAAATGAAGGAACTTATTCCCCTGGAAGCTTAAGAATGTGCCGGCAGGTACGATTGTCACTTTACTGAAACTCTGAGAGCTTCTCAGCCCCAAGAAGAAGAATTGAACCGCACCCATTAATTTTTACTTTCTGAGGTTGCCGAGCTGTTCTGCGCCGATTTCTCGTAAGTAGCGACAATCAATATCTTCAATCAGTCAATCGTTAGATTAGATTGCAGAAAGAAAATGGCAAATGAGATACATACAAATAGTGGGTTTCTATCTTGTATAATGATTAAAACGCTCTGTTTAGGCTGTAGCCTGTTTAGACTAGCTATGCTGTTACTATGAAGCATTTTTTTCCGTTGATTTTACTTAAATATGATGCACAGTAGTGGTCATCTGCGAAAATGACAGCCAAAATTATTAGCTATAACAAAGGCCCAACATTAAAATAATTTAATCTTAACGAAAAAAGGATTTAATTTAGCTTATCTTTATCACTTTTATGCTCCCGTCAAAATATATTTAAAAAACCAGTAGGTGGCGCTATCACTATGTATGAATATTCCCATGTAGACATGTTCACGGCTGGACTCTTATCAAACACGTGAAGTTTCATTGAGATTGGACCACGTAAACTGAAGTTATGAGGACGTGTTCAGGGCGAGACTGTTACAGAATATATGAAGTTTATTGGACATTGCACACTGAAGTTATGAGTGTTGTTTAATGGCAAATTGGCTGAATTCGACAAGTCGTCACTGGCACGCAGTTTGACGTACAGTCACAAATAGCTCAACTTTTCATCTAGTTTGTATGACCACAGAATTCAAAATGGCCAACTTTGACGGCACATCTAGGGTGGCCATTCGTCCGGCTTTTAAACGCCCTGTCCGGCTGCAGGCGCAGCCTTAAGCCTGAAACTCATTTGTCCTCCTTTTGAGAAAATAACTAAAAAGGTCGCATTTTGACACATTACCTCATTACTTTAATACTTATTGGCTAAAAATGTGTGTCAAAATAAGTAATTTCATTGGTTACATTTTCCTGTCATGACCTATCAACACATGGCTAATTTTAATATTCAAATGAGCCATGTGTTGATTCATCACCAAGCTCTCAGCCAGGGAACATAACATGAGCTAATGTAGGTTGTTGGACTGAAATTCTGAAAATGCTCATACTCATATGTATAGGCAAAGCCTATCCATCTAACACAGAAGGTGCTGCATTTTGTACCCTTTATCTATCCAGATAAAAACATTAAGAACAGTTTCTATATGATGTTTATTAGACCTATGTAATCTGAATTGGAAGGGCATGTTGTCAGGAGCTGTATCTTGTATATTTATTATTAGCTATGTGGTATGTGAATGCACCTTTTATGTAATCTGGTGAAAAAACATTAAAATTTAAAACCGGATCATACCAAACAAATATCTGCTTGCGTGTTCCCGTGTATGCAAAGTGTCCTCCTTTTTGATATGAAGGAAATGGCCACCCTAGGCACACCAGGGACACGCCCTTTAACGTACAGTCACAAAAAGCATGGCACAATTTTGAAGCAGATCCGATACATTCCCTAGGAGGGGTTCCTTCAAATACAGGGCAAAATTTACAGTTACACGTGCCTACCAAGTTTCATACATATTGGTGAAACGTGGCACCGGGGCTGCTTTGTTGAAATACTGTAGGGGGCGCTAAAAACACGACAAACACGGTTTTTGGTATGTGAGCTACAGACACCACTCTACACGTGTCCTCTGAATTTCATATTCATAACTATTATGGTCTCCAGAGTGATTTACCCTGCCACCAGAGCGCTGATTTCTGATTTTTGATTTTTGATTTTTTCTCCTTTTTAAGTGAGCCTCAGGGAGCCATGGGCAATCATTTTACCAAGTTTCGTTTTAATTTTACCGATGCGGAGATATAAACTTCTTAATTTTAAAGAGCGCCACCTTGAGGCTTTGGCCTGAAATTGTGCACGATGCCTAATGGAGACATAAGGAACTATTGACCCAAGGTTGGTGTCAATCGGACATACCAATGTGGAGAAATGCCCCATTCCTTTTTTGACAAAAAATCAACAGGAAGTGCTAATTTTATAACGTGCTTATTTTTTGAAATATCAAAATACCTTAAATTACTTTTTTTGCTAGGACGGTCTCCAGATGCTACGTGCAAATTTCCGTGCGAATCGGCATGGATGGAACACGAAAACATAGTTTTTGGACCTTTTGCACTCTAGCGGGGAAAAAAATAGGCAGAAGTGGGCGTGGCTTATATAGGGAGGTTCAGCTCCATTCACCGAACGCGTGGACATAAGGTTTTTGAATGTGAGACAAACGATACGGGAGTTATTAGCCTATCAAACTTTGCTTAAATGTAGCGCCACCTAGTGGCCTTCCTAGTGGCCGACCTGAAAGCGAACATGGAATGTTAAAGCTTTCACCAGGCCTGACAAATTTGCCAAATAAAATTCACGCTAAGTATATGTTCAGGGGGTCAAAGATGCAGTCAACGTTCTGAATAATAATAATAATAAACATACCAAAAAACAATAGGGACCTTCCAGTTCATACTGGCTTGGTCCCTAATAGGATAAAGCCTGAGAGTCAGAGCACTGCTGGCCTGCGTGCTGTGAACTGACTTGGTGATCAGCTGCGGTGGCTCACCACTGTGCTGATATGATCAGTGGAAGATGAACTTGCTTAAATAATGATTTAATCTGCTGATTCAACGCTGATTTGGGCTATTTATTGCTAATTGATTTTGCAAAAGCATTGCTGTCATCAGGGGTTGTGCGTCTTCCAATTGCGAAATGCGTGCAGAGAGTATGGGGAAGTGACTTGAAGCTTGGTGTCAGATAACTGTGTTGGGGTGGTTTGTCACGCTTTATTTACAGACATCACAGAGGAAATGGAAAGTCAGGTTACAAACGACCTCACACCAGCAGTGTGCAAGTTTCCTTTCTGGTAAGTGGAGGTTTATTTAAATTTCTTATTAAATGAAGTAACATTTTACATTGTATTATGTGTTTGTTTTGTTTGATTACTGCTCCCTCTGAGTTCCTTGGAGAAATCAAGATATGAACTGTACTTAAACTTGTGTCAAACTTAAAGAGACTTTTATTCAAATGATGGAATTTAATAAATTAGCGTGCTTCACTTACAGATATTGGAGAATTACAAACTGTGGGAAAGCAGCTCGATAACAAACTACGCAGAAATCAAGATGCAGCACGATTTCGCTCACTGTGAGAGTTTTCAAATGTCCCTGCTGCCCTCAGTGTATGGGATTGAGTTCATCATAGCCTTGGTCGGAAACCTGTTTGCCCTGTGGCTGCTGCTGGTCAAAGAGAGAAGGAACTGGCACACTGGTGTCGTCCTGTCGTGTAACCTGGCAATCAGTGACCTGCTGTATGTCCTGACCCTGCCTTTGCTGATCGTCTACTACTCACAGAAGAAAAACTGGATGTTTGGTGATGCTGTGTGTAAAATTGAGAGGTTCCTTTTCACCTGCAACCTATATGTGAGCATCTTCTTCATCATGGCGATAAGTGTGAACAGATGCGTGGCCCTCGTCTGTCCCTTTTTTACCCGATCCTATGTAGAGCCTATCCATGCCAAGGTCATCAGTGTCATCATCTGGATCATAGTAGGAGTCATTTCCTGCCCTGTGTTGAAATATGCATCTGTTTGCAAAAATGCGCACAATAACAATACTCAGTGTGTGTCCGTCTGTAAGGACCAAGGGGATGAAAACCCTCACTTCACCTACAACATTTTTCTTGCTGTGTTTGGGTGTCTGGTTCCCTTCTTGGTTACTTTCACTTCTTACTGCGTTGTGATTCGAGTGGTGTGTCAAAATGTCAGTGTAACCACACTGGAGAAACGTAAGGTAGCTCTATTGGTCACATCAGTGCTGGTTTTGTATGCTATTTCCTTTGTGCCTTACCATGTCTTTCAGATCTATCACTTGTATCTGAAGATCAGTAACAAGTATGTCTGTTGGGCCTTCGAAATGTACCAAGTGTCCAAGGGACTGGCAACTCTGAACATGTGTATCCATCCAATCCTTTATGTGGCTGTGTTTGACAGTATAAGAGTGGCTTGTTGTGGGGAGAGCCCAGAGGACAACAACAGAAGAGAGATGAGGAAGTAGAGCTGCTCTTTGGCTGCTTTTTCTGAGTAAATCATTTTTTTATGCTGTAAAACTTATACACAGAATTTACACAAGAGCTCTTGCACTTATTTCCTATTTTTGTTATTTCTAAAAGTCATTGTTCTACTAACTTTGAAACATAACCATCTGTAATAAAGATGTATTTGTTGCTGTAATGTGACTAATTTTAACTTCCTTTTTGCACCATATCAGGAAGAAAAGTAACAATGAAAAAGTGTTATTTTATATCCACTCGCCGTGTTTTGATTATGATGCAAAATCCAGACCTGCATAATCACATAACAGTGAGGATTTTGTCTATAACAGCAAAAACATACTCATATTTAACAAGGCACAATGAAATAAAATCAAAGCAGTACCAGTAGAATCAGTTTAATATAAGGATTAAAACAGATTATCTCTGAGGAAGTGTAAAACACTGTTGATGACACAGAGTGAGTTGACTTGTGACTTCCTTAGTGTGTACATGAGCAGTTCTCGGACAACAAAAAAACATAAATTAGAGAAAGGTAACTAAAAACTATTTTGTGCAGCAGAAATAGTTTTTTTTATATACCTCTGAAAAGTAAAGTGTGGTTTGAAACCTGTAAACCTTTTCTCAGTTTTTTTTATTTTTATTTTTACCAATTACCATACATGCCGACTCTGTCACTTCATCAC